TGATTTCATTTGTTTCATAGAAGTGATTGCAGTGCTTGTTTTCCAGAGCTTCAGAGAACTGTATATATGTTCTTAAAAACTTTTCAGTCAGCAAACTGAACTTGAATTGCTGGATTTAAAAAAAAAAAAACAAAACTTAAACAACAACAACACCAAAAACACTTCTGATACATCATTCAAAATAAACTGTATTCTGAACGTTAGTCCATTAGTATCACTAATTTTGAGCAAGTTTATTCCAGTCTAGACTATTTTAAAAAGACAATCCCCTGCTGCTAGCACGCTGTAGTTGCTTCCTATAGTGTTGTTATAAGCAGGAGATGGAACATTGGAAATAAAAGAGCTGATATGCTGATTCTGCAGGTATGTTAACAGGTATATGAACTAAATGTTGTCAAACTGACTGAACTGTGACTAAATAAATGCTTAATGTGCGAATGGGTGCATAGCGTGAAGAGCTAAATCTGTGTGTTTAAGAAAGGGTTTTCTTTGCCTCCAGCTCTTTATCCCTTCAGGCTAAATACTTCCAGTTTCATGTTTAGAGGATAAGTTCTATAGGCTTTGAAAGCAGCAGTGGAATCAAAGCTGTGCCAGAGCTTCATTGGGTTTCTTCCTATTGACATGATTGTATTGCGAAAAATCAGCCTTTCAAAATTGTTTTTTATTGAAGAACAGTCTAATTGTTTCTCTTTTTGTGTGGTTATGTGGGTTTTTTTTTTTTGGGTCTTTTTAAAAACAAACAGCAAGAAAAATAACAAAAAGCCTTGTTATGGTATTTCCCAGTACGTATGTGTTTATGCATGAAGTGTAAGGTGACAAGACAAAAAGTACCTCCTAATGTAAATGTAGTTAATTGCTCATAGAAGTGGAATTACAAAGGAGAAATAGGTGGCTAGTTGAGAAAACAAATAGAATTGTAAAATGCTTTGAAAATAAAGTAGTAGTGTTGCACGCAAAAGTTGATTTTAACTTTCCTGTAGCTAGAAGATTTATGAGCAGCACTGTCTTCCTCACAGACATTGTTCCTGCTCTCGGAATACCTAGTTGTGTCTTTTTGTTCTTTGCTTACTTTCAGATACAGAGTAATTTCCTAGCATCTGTGAGGCAAAGCTGAGTGAGGTGGGCTGCTCTAGTGCTGCACCCTTCTCTTCTGTCTGGCAGCTAAATTCTGCAAAATTTCCAGAATAAGTTCAGTAGCAGTTGTAAACAGAAACAAAACTTTGAAGGCTGAGGGCCTTTGTTGTATCAGTTCCTGTGAAATGTTTTTAGGGGAGAAGAGCTGTGAGTGCTGGGGTTGGGAGAGTGGGGCAAGTGTTTATGCAACAGTATAGAAAGAGAGCATTTTTGTCTGCTGCATATCTGCCATGAGCAGAAGCAAGGGATTAGAAGTAGTCCAGTTCCAGTGGCCAGCTGGCATTAGAGTTGCTGTTTAAACACTGACAGCACGTTTATCTGATTCTTAATACAAAACTGAAGTGGTGTTGACACGTCAAATGGATAAAAACAAAGACTTGTGCATTGCTGAGGTTGCAATTTTCAGGTTTTGAGGTTTCAACCATGAGGAGTAGGAAAAGTCCATCAACACCACAAAGGGTAATGAATGGCAATCTATTGAGTGAGCATCCACACAGTTTCTGGACTTTTGAGAGCGTGTTTGGAGGTAGTAGATTCCTCATTTAGTGTATGTCTTGGTCAGCATGTAGAACTAGCCAGTCTGAGCTTCATTTAGATCATCTCCAGGTTGACAGGAGGAAGACTGAATGGCAGTGAATTCAATAAGCTTCTTTATTAGTTTAATGAGTTCTTCATTAAAGTACTGATGAAATGTTACGTGATTATCTATATTCAGTGAGTGTATATATATTTTTTGACTGAAATACTAAGCTGTTCTGTGAACAAAGTATTGTAGGTTTTGGTAGAATGCGTTGAACAAGGCATCTTGTTTGATATACCTTGATATATAGTCTGATACACTCTTGACTCGATATTCTAAGGTGACTGAAATAGGAGGAATTCTGTATTGTAAGACTAACTTACTGTAATCAATCTATTTAATAATTATTAATAAAGACAGATTTTCAACACTTTCCCCCAGTGCAAGTTAACCTTTCAGCCAAGTTACTTGGTTGATTGTTGAACAGTCTGAAAAACCTTGCTTTTCAACTCAACTGGGTTGAGTTTACATAGTCATTATCATCCATACTTTGGTTTATGACAGGGTTATTTATAATTTCTCAAAAAGAAGAGGGCCATTGAAATTCACAATAGAAAAGGAAGGAGATGTTTCCTGCTTTTGCTAATTTTGCCAGCACCTTTATAAGCACAGTTTTATAACACTGTGGTGCCTTTTTTTAGAAAACATAACAATAATTGTGTAAAAATGGACCTGGACTTCTTCCATGTTGAGTTCTGTTAGAAGCGTGTATGGGCATATGTCTGCTCATTGAACTCCAGTGTGACTGTGTATGCGTGGGGGAGTAAAAATAATTGCTGTGGATTTATGGGTACAGCTATTGCTCAGGAATGTATGGGTAGTGATTTATTGGTTATGCTAAATGCTCTTGATCACAGTTAATGTAAGATTGCTAGAGCAAGACACCACTGAATTTAAGAATAAGATTAATTAAAAAGAAAAAAAAAAGACTAAAAAACTGGTTTGTGCAGATATCTAGCTCCTGATATATTCATCTTAGTTATACAGATTCCTCAATATTTACTTGCTTAAATGTAAAAGGGGGCAAAAAGGAAAATTCATCTTAATTTGAAAATAAAGGAGTATTTGATTCACTAGGAACTGAAGATTATAGTGCCCATGTGTGTGAACTGCACTTAGGCTGTTATAATTGCCCTGTCAGTAATGTAAGGCAATCAAATTAATCTATGTAGGTAGAAATAGATTAGGCTATTGTGTGCTTGCATACTAAAGGTCATCAGGCTATTTCTGATTTTAATAAGTTTTTGAATTACAAAGAATGTTCAAAACTGTCTCAGCAGCACACTGTACCACTGGGCACGTGGTGGAGAGACTTAAAGAGTTCAGTACAACATAATAACAAAATTAAATTTCTGTGAAGTGAGCAACTGTGTGGGGAATTATGAGATTATTCTCTACTTTTTAATAGCTGTGTATATGTCTGTTTTTGTTGTGCATTAGGGAGTAATTTTGCACTTATGTAGAATGTTATATTGTGTGATGATTGCTTAGAGATAAGAAACGTCTTCATTTTAACTTGTTTGATGAAAGATGATAGGCTTGCTGGATCAATTTATTACTTTTCTGATACCCACAAAAAATAGTTTTGCAACATCTGTAAAGTGGAAGGTATAAATGATAAGTGCTTCTTAAGCATGATAGCTATGAAGAAGTAAGGAGTTCACCCCCTTAGTCATACTGAAGATGCTTTGCTTAGCAATTTGAATTTTTATGGTACCATCTAAATCATGTAGTATAGGGCATGTGAAGATGGTCAGCATAAAGGCAGTGATGTTTTGCCAGGAGATGATGATGATGATTCTGGAATCATCTGTTCCAGCAGAGGGAACAATTTCTGAACAAGAAGGAAGGATGGTTTCAGGTGTGTAAGACACAGAGCAGAAGTGCAAGCAGGAAAATATGGGTAGCAAAAATGAGAGTCGGTAAGAGCTAGATCACGAACCCTAATGAAGGCAGGCTCGTTAGTTGTGTTTTGTGATGAAGGACGGGCGTAGCGTGCTTTGGGGTGATTCAATATTATGAAATTCCAGAGAACAGGAAATGCTTTCAGAACTAGAGATAAGGAGGAAAATATTTTATAGGCTTGCTACAGTGCAAGATCATAGAATGGCTTGGGTTGGAAGGGACCTCAAGGATCATCAAACTCCACCCCTCCCTGCTGCAGGCAGGGCCACCGATGTCCACACTTACTACTAGACCAGGCTGCCCAGGGCCCCATTCAACCTAGCCTTGAAAATGAGAGGACAATTGAGAAGACAGTAGGGAGATGTTGCACCATTTGCACCATCATGGGGGTAGAATTGGCTCTCAAAAGCTGCAGCTGACTTAGACTGGAGGAGTATGAGATTGGAGGCCAGAATAAAGGAGCTGGTTATCAAGGTATGTTGTAGCCTGGACTAAGAGATGAATATTGTGTGAAGATCATGCTGAGGTACTGAGAGTGATACTGAGTGGGAGTAGGAGTGGCACCATTCAGATGTGCTGGGATTAAAAAAATAAATTCTCTGGGGGAAGTGAGCTAAATTAGGGGCTGGTAGGTACTTGATTTTTGGAGTGAAAAACTCCAAAAGTATTCATACAAACATTCTGTGTTTTTTATATACGTGGATGGTGCTGTGTGCAAGCTGGATTTGCTGGAAATTTCTTGGAGTTAATGTTGTTGCCAGTGGTTCTATAATGCTTCATAATGCTGTTATAGAAAGAGTTGATTCATAAGAGTGTGATTTGCATGCTAATTATAATGTGGCTAATTACTGTATTTAAAACAAGTGTACAGACACTGGAGTCTCTTCTCCCTCCCACCTGTCTAGAAACCCTCCTTAGTTAGAAAATTGAACTTGTCAGTAGTAAATGTTGCGAAGAGGAACTTCTTCACATTACCACTGAATTGGACTTTTAAAGGAGACGGCAATAAAAACAAACTAAACAGCTGCTCTTTATTTATATTTTCCCCTTCACTGTAATGGTTAACCACAGTGTGGTTTCTTGAGATAATGCTTTATGGCATGGAAGCACCTTGTTCAGTATGCAGAGATTATGAAATCATATCGTTGTGCATAACAGCTCAGCTATAATTCAGCATCAAGTGTAGTGCGATGTGGCCAGCTAATAATGCTCCCTGTATTTCACATGTGGTGTTCCATTAAACTTTTTTTGTTTCCATTCTGTTTGCTGAAAATATTTTCCAAAATGCTGTTGGAGAGGGCTGTTGACATAATGAGACATTGAGCTTTGTTTTATTAATTACAGAAATCTATATTTATGTTTTGCTTCATTTTTCCTGCAGGCAACATCATAAAATCTTAATCAGGTGAAAATGGCCCTTAGCAATTTGACCTCAAAGGCTGTGCTGCTCTATGATGAATGGATCAAAGATGCCGGTGAGTCATTTAAATCTAAGACTTAACTTTCAATAATTTTGAAGTTCAATGTGTAGATATTGTAGGTGTGCTGATACCAGCTTAAAGTAGCTTTATCTTCCTGTACGTGTTTCATAGACTTGTCAGGATAGCCACTGACATTTTTAACTATAAAGAACAAACTAGTTTCTGAATTAAAAAAAAAAAAAAAGAAGAAGCAAAACTTGGCTAACTTACAGGTATAACCCCAGACTAATGAAGTGCTGGTAGTGATTACTCTGTAGGAGTTTCTGGTGCTTAAATATGAAGTTTAGTTTTTTTCTGTGCTACTGAATGCGAAGCTCTAACTTTTTCACTACCAAACAATGGTAGGTTATTGATAGTACTAGGTGTGTGGTGTTAGTGTATTTTGTCTTTGCCAAATACAAGCTCTGATAAGGTACAATATATTGAAATTAGCACTCAGAGCAATTCACTCTCACAACCTTATTTCAAAGATTAGTCTCTTGGTGCACCCAATATGAGGATATTAAACATGTTTTGCTTTAACACTTTAACATAGTGTTGGTGTTCCTCGTTGTGGTAGCCATGTAGTAAATGGCATTAGCTGATTCTCAGGGAGACTTGAGAAGCAGCAAAAGATTGATAAATACTTATACTGGAAGCTATACTAGAAAATATAGCTAGGAACCATCTGTCTTGTTCAGTAGCATCACAGCTGGTCTGTGAACAGGGAGTTTTATCAATATGATGCATGTGGGTGAAGTGGATTGAGATGGGTGACAGAGCATTTCTGCTGCGCTGTCCATGATGTCACAATTTGAGTTTCTCATCTCTCTGCCCACTAGTGCCTGTATTTGGCATCTCATAGTGTATTATGGTTTCCTCAGAACCAAATGGGGAATGTTTTGGTAGTACCAGTGCGAGGGGTGGATGCAAAAAAGCAATCAGTTGTGAAGAGCAAGTGATTCTCTTGCAATGCACTTGCTCTTTTTTTCTAATCCGCTGTGCAGTAGTTCACAACCCCATCTGGTTGGGGATGGGCAACGGGGATGGGCAACAGCACTGGGCACATAACAGGCTGTGAGGAGTACTATAGTTTGTTTTCTTCAAGTTTTTTATGTTTATGTAAACACCTGAATTTACTAACAGGTATCACTTACGTGACTGTAAACAGCATTAGAGTGCCTCATTGGTAACATGTTGCTTGTGTGCCATAGGTTGAACATAAATTAAACATTTAACAAGAATTGCAGTGTTATAACTTCACTGCCAACACACAGCAGCAGACCACGAAAGCAGCAGTTTATGGAGTTAGTAGATATCTCAGGGTCCTTCTGTGGAGAAATGTAAGTCTCTTTTAGCTGGGACTTGGTGATGAATCACAAATAGGTGCAGTAGGATAAAGATGAAGTTTAAAAGGGATGGCAGCATGTGTGGGAGGAGACTGCAATAACTGAAGTCTGTATGTGGTATCTGTAGAGGAACTTGTAATATTTTTACAGTTTGGAAGCTTGTAACATGAAATTGTGTGTTCGGTGGTGCTGTGGAAGTAGTGACATGCCAGGACTTGTTAGGCATAAGCTATGAATACCAACTGATGGGATGGAATGTTTTTAACTTTGAAATCCCCATGCTTATTACCTCTCACAACATACTGTTTATAACACTTGAGTATCTTGAAAAGTGGAGCTACTCCCTGTCTGTACCTTGAACTTGTGAGACAAGGTTTATGCTTTTCCAGAGGAATGCAGTCTCATTTGCAAATGCAGCCTCAGTAATCTGCTTGTGCATTGCCTTCCTTGCTGCCTTCTGAGCCACATTAATGTATGAAAATGCTGGCTTTTCATGGGGGAGAGCTTTAGGCTGAAAAGAACATTAATCGTGATTCCATGTGTCTTCCTCATTGTGTGGCATGAAGAACTGATGACTTATGAGGAGCTGCTGAGAGAACTGGGAAGTTTAGTCAGGAGAGACTTTATTGTTCTCTACAACTGCCTAAAAGGAGCCTGCAGTGAGGAGGGTATTGGTCTCTTCCCTCAGGCGGCTAGAGGAGCAGAGGGGAATGGCCTCAAATTATATCAGGGGAGGTTTAGATTGGATGTCAGGAAGAACCTCTTTATGGAGAGGGTGGTCAAGTACTGGAATGGCCTGCCTGGGGAAGTGGTGGAGTCCCCACCAATGGAGGCATTTAAGAGATGCGTGGGCTTAGCACTACGGGACATAATTTAGCAGTGGGATTCAGTAGGTCAGGCTGCGGTTTGGAGTTGGTGATTTTAAAGGTCTTTTCCAACCTATGTGATTCTGCAGTGCAGGAAGAAGCATGGAATCCAGCAGGTGCTAACTCTTGTTATCTGGCAGGAATAGATTTGAGACAAATGGTGTCTAAATCTTGATCAGTGAAAGTAAAACCTGAACCATTAAGAGTTAAATACTTTTCAGTAGCCTTTTTAGGATTTTATGAGTACAAGACAGATCTGATTTCTTTTTTTCTTCTAGATCCAAGATTGGAAGGCTGGCCACTCATGTCTTCACCTTTTCCAACAACTTTTATCATTGGAACCTACATCTATTTTGTCACTTCACTGGGACCTAAACTCATGGAAAATAAAAAACCTTTTGAACTCAGGCAGATAATGGCATTTTATAACTTTAGTGTGGTAATACTTTCCTTGTATATGACTTATGAAGTAAGTATTACTTTTATTTGCAAATAGTTATATATTTCATGTCTCTAAAAACCCTAATAAATTTTAATAAACTTTTCTAATAAACCTATTAATACAATTCTTGCTCTTCAATTCTCAGAACTGTTATTCTGATTGCTTTAGTTATATTTCTCCAAGCAGTATGCTAAATAAGTTGAGCTCGTACTTGATAAAAGAGAGTAACTCATACCTAGAAAGATAGTAAAATATTTTATATGCAAATACATATAATGTACAGATTTAAAAATCCTTGCAACGTATTTGATTTTTATTGGCTATATTTTTCTTAGTCTGATGTAATTGTTTTTATTCTATGCCACAGTCAGCAACAATGTTTCATTGCGATGTAGAATATGTTTACTAAAGAATAATCTTCAGTTAGGTCTGCCTTTTGAATTACAAATGCTAACAATATCTAACTTTGGGTTCCTCATCCTCTAAACTTTTTCATAAAAAAAGTATCTTTGAACAAGACGAATGATGTTTCAGAGAAGGAGCATTGAGATTTTGCTAAAGTTCATAGCTCAAGCAAGTATTAGACTTGTAAGAAAGCAAAGCCTGGTGCTGTATAGAGCTAGTGTTGATTGACTAAAAGGTCCTTAAGAATGAATAGTATAGACTGTGTAGAAACTTCAATCTAGAACCAGTTTTTTAAACCTTAAGATAGATATCTGCTTAAGGTTCTTTTTTTTTTAAAAAAAGAAAAGCCTGGTGAAACATCATTATGCTACTAACTAATACTGATGCTTTTTATATAAAATCTGGTTATGTGGTTATATGGTTTGTCAAATTATTCATGAAAAGGTGCCAGATAATCCTGCCAAGATGGCAGTGATTCTGCTAGATCAATTGCAAAGATCTCATCATTATTTACAATGAACTCCCTGACATTTCTTTTAGCAGCACTTTAACAACAGTGCAGCAGTGGTTACTTGGTGTAATGGTTGTTGTTTTGAATGCTTTAAGTGTTGGGGCAAGATGTATATGTTTGCTTTTTACTTTTTGTTTTGAAAAGTCATCAAATGTCTGTAGTTTGATAATAATTGATTATAAGCCCTCAAACTTAAATAAAATAAAATTGTCTGCTACTAAATTTAACATAGCATTCAATCTGCGTCAAGATTTGTATTTTAAAATCTCATGAAAGGATGCATAGATGCAGTATGACAGATTGAATCTCTGCTATTGTCTTTGAATCTCAGCAAAAAACTGATTTTTTTTGCCCTCTTTGGATCCAAGCCATTTTGTGGGTGTTAAAGTATTATGCTGTGTTGGTGTTCTAAATCTTGCTTTATTTAAACAACTGATTCTTTAGGACGATAACACATTTATTGCAATTGCAGACTAATTCATTCATCTGTTACAGAGCTGAACCTCCTATCAGGCATAAGAGGATTATGATGGGAAGTATTTTTTAAACTGATACAAGATGCAGTAGTCTCAGTGGCTGGCAGGAGATTGAGCAAGTGCAATATTAATAATGTGGTCTTGTCTTGAGTTCTAATGCAGTCCAAGATAAATGATCAAATGATTGAGAGAAATTACTGATGATACATGCAGGCCTGCCTTGTGCACCTGCTCTTGACTATAAAAACACTGACCCATTACGTCAGTGAAAGTTAATTGAATCATGCAGTTAACTAAGCAAGATTTTAGGAACTAGGGTACTAAAACTGTAGTGGATATAGATTTGTTCCTTCTCATTAAGGGTAGTAAGCTATACTTCTCAGTTGTACTGATTTTCTTGAGTAGTAAGATTTTTGGCTGTGATAATGGCTTCCAAAAATTTTGAAAATGTTGACTTGTTTTTGTGGTCTGATTTATACAGTTACTTAGCTAGCACATGTTTTGAGATGTTGTTTCTCCTCCTGTTAGTAATGTTGTGAGATAATGGGTGTAGAAAGAAGCTTCTTGTCTGTAGGTGTGGTCCTGGAATTAAAAATTTGTTAATCTGCAGCAGCAAATGGTAACTAGCCTACACAGAGGTAGGTTTCTGACAAGGTTGCTGATCCAGCATGTTTATAACATTGTTTTGCCCTCCTGCTTAGTTACTGCAAAAGTAATCTGACATTAATTATTTTTTCATAAGACACAATGTAAACCTATTTTCTAATTTTATGTGCTTCAGTTTCTTATGTCAGGTTGGGCAACTGGCTACTCATTCCGATGTGATATTGTTGACTACTCGAGGTCACCTACAGCCCTAAGAGTAAGTAGCCAAATGCAAGGCCACATTGTTATGCTACTCTGACATTATTTTTGGAAATGCTTTCAAACAAGCAAATGCATTGCTTTAGAGTGGAGTGCTCTAAAGGATAATGCCTTCCTGCATAATGTAGAACATGTGAGTTAACTGTAGGGGTTGGTTGTTAGGGAAATGGGCAATACATTTGTTGGCTTATTTCTTTTGGTTTTAAAATTCTCTAAGGATGAAATATTTTTTAAGAAAAAAAATTGAAACAAAGCCACAAAACAAACTATATATCACCAGGGCACTGTTTTCTTCTTCTTTGTTCTTCTGTTTTCCTTTTGTACACTTACTGCCATTTCTTGGCTTTATTTATGATTATTATAATTTAACAGTGTTTTTCACTCTTGCAGATGGTACGAACTTGTTGGCTATACTACTTTTCCAAGTTCATTGAATTATTAGACACTGTAAGTATTTGTAGCCTAATAAATGATGTATTAATGCTTTCTTTTCTCTACAAACAAACCGCTGCTATTGGGGCTGAAGGCATAAATTGCTTTTTCATTAACTCTGCAACCCTCATTACTGGATTTACTGCAATTACATGGAAGTGTTAACCTGTGGTGTCTTTCGTTGTACTCTCATCATTCCTTGACAACCAGGGAAAATGCTAGTTAGACAACATACTTCTCAAAAATTAGGAAGCCCTGTTAGCTTGGCTGCTAAACAGCTGATTACACAAACCTATTGTGCTGCACTAATGATTGTCTCAACACAGTGGATAAAACACAGTATTGATGGTGATGAAATTTGTTGCATGTCATCTTCAAATTTTTTCTACTTCTGGAATATTTACATCAACAGCACTGAATACAGCATAAGTTGCTATACCTACCTTCTCTAAAGTAGTAGTAGGCCTGTACTCTAAACTGTTTAATAGAAAGTCTGAGCTGCAGTGTGTTAAAGCAGAATGCAGACCTTGGTCACCACTACCGACTGTCTGCCTTGCCTTGTTTCTGAAGGGCTGGCAAATTTGTTCTCAAGACAGCTTCTGGATGCTGGGGTCAGCTGTGATTTCTTTGTCTTAACGGTGTTGGGCGCAACAGTGATGATTCAGGGACTGACTCACAAGTAGCTTGGATGTTTTATACCTTGCAAGCAAAGTTAGCTAGCTGACTTGCATCTACCAACAATCATTTTACAACACTTGAAGATACTTCTGACTGGGACAAATAGAATGGTAATAGAAGTGACAGGAATGTTAAAACTAGAAAAGCCTGAATGGCTTAGTTCTCTATTTAATAATCTTGTTGGTACTTTTTAATTAGCCATGGGTTTGTGGGGGGAAAAAAAAAAAGGTTAAACTATTTGTTTTATTTGAATCCACCCAATCGGATACCTATTTCTCAGCAGCTTTCTTTTTTGTTGTTGCAAAAGTGATTTCTTAGCTGCACATAAGTCAGCTATTTCCAAATATTTTTCCTGGCTCACCAGACTAATTTTTTTGTTTCTTTTCTTGCCATCTGATACCACCTTTCTCATGACCTGGCTTCTTATATTTTTCTTCCCATTGTGCCTTAATACTTATCTCAGTATTTGTCCTTCTAAATTGGCCCATCAATATCTATTAAAAATGCCTGTGTATGTTCTTTCCTATGTTACCTTTTTCCAGCAGTAGCTAATTTGGTGTTCAAAATCAAGTGCTTTTTCTCTAACTTAATGTTTTCTCTTGCCTCTGTCTATTTCTAGTCCTTTGGTTCATTGTCTTAAACACCTTTTCTTTCGTACTTGTAGTTCAGGACACTTAAAACATCTGATCCTTCTTGATAACTTCTCGGTCCAAGCAAGTCCATCTCGCACTGTCCACTGCACTTAGAAGGTAGCTCAGCCTTGGACACTTTCTTTCAAAGCTTGCTCTGGCTACTGAAAGTCCATAGGTGGATTTTAATATTGGTTTAATTTTTTTTGAAAATTAGTCAGATATGTCCAGAGCATCACTTTCTCACCTTCTCCTGCAACTGCAACAATGAAGAATTTTTAAATGTACAGTAGAGAGCAACCAGCACTGACACATACAGTTTTCTGTAAGTATGTTCAGCTTGAATATCTTCCATAACATTCTGCTTGTTAAAATCTGTTTCAGATATTTTTTGTGCTGCGTAAGAAAAACAACCAAGTTACATTCCTGCATGTCTTTCATCATTCCATCATGCCATGGACCTGGTGGTTTGGAGTCAAATTTGCTGCAGGTAGCAGAGAGACAGTTTAACTTTTACATATCTTCTGGTAGCAAAATTTAAACAAGCGAGACAAATATTTGAAGAATAGATTAAAAAACTCTTGCAAACATTAATCTTTTGAAATTTGTATGCCTTCAGGATCTTTGATCTGAGATCACTATATAACAACTATGTAAATGGGACAGTACTCATTTTTCTTATTTCACATCATTTTGTTTAGTTGAGGGGGAAAAGTGCAGAAGAGAGAGAGCTAAGCAAGGAGCACAGTTATGTAAAAAAGAGGTGCGACTGACATTAAAAGTGGTAGAGAAGAAGTATAAAACAGAACTCAGCACCTACTTTAAAGATATTAGTCCCTTGGCACATAAGAGCTGAATTGGAGGGGAGTACTGTGTTCTTGTCATTCCTAGCATTTTTATTTTTACTGTTGTTAGGCAGCGCATAACTGGCGCTTACTTGCATTGAATACTTTAGCTTTCACAAAAGTATAGAGCTTAATTATTACAAAAACTTAGCCTATACTTGTATTTCAATCAAACCCTCTTCAGATTACCTTTTCTCCTTCCCTGCTCTGTGTTTCTGTGCACACTACAAAATTAGTGTGCAATGCTAATAAATAAAGCACGAGAACAGTGTGGTAGTTGCATAATGGAGAAATACAGACTCCTTTAGCAGTACATCTGTAGGAAAGTGTGGGGGTGTTTTTTTCTTATAGGAGTTTTTACCAAGAAATATGTTTTTTCGTACATGTTTCTTTACTCATGTTTTCTGATGTGTTCTTTTCTTCCCAGAAAAAAAAGTCGAACTGATGAATAGAACTATACTGATAACATCTGATATATTAGTTCTTGTTTTATGAATGTGAAAACAAAGCCCCAGAAGCAGACCAGTAAACTTTTGAACAAGCCCAGTGTGCAGATCTTCCTTGTGTATGGAAGGATACAATTTTACTGCATTTGCTGATTTTCTGTTATTAGGAAGCTTGATCACATCTTTTTTCAAATGCTGATGAACAACTGGAATTTAAATTAATGAGGAAATTGTGATTAGTTTTTTTCAGCATACAGCTTAGTATGTCTGTAGAACTGCAAAGAATCCCAGCGACTAATAGCCTCTCCTCTTTAACTTTGAAAAGTTCCAATTTATAAGTGACTAACTTTCTGCCTTTTATCTGGGCATTGGATCATTATACCAGATACAGGCTTCTGAGTTTGCATCAGATTCAAGTTTTCCATGTGATAATTTGATCAGTACTTTCAGCAAACTGTGCAAGGTCTGTTTTCTCCCCTGCTCAGTCATGAAGAGCTGTGTTATTTCTACTCTATTGCTAATCTTTATATTTATCTTTTAAAATATTGTTCTGTTTAACAATTTATTTTTTTCCACAAATTTCAGTCATGCTGATGATAATCTTGTATTCAGTTTTGTCACAGTTTGTCCTTGCTTCTAAGTAATGTGGTTGTGGTCTCTACTGACCAAGCTTTTCTTGATGTGATATAAACAGGAAACAAAGTACTGCATACATCCATAGTGGTGTTTTTTGGACCATATTCTTGTACTGCTGTTTTTTCCCCTCTGCTTTAACTATTTATTTTTTTTTTTTTGCATATTCACTGTGCAGGCCAAGAAAAGTATGTCCTTTTGGACTATGAGAACACTCAAATTATTTTTGAAAAATACAAATAGCTTAGTTTCAAAGACAGTTTGCAATCACAGCTGGAGCAGCTATGATCTATCAAGCTGGAGGTAGTGAGAGCTACTAAAATCACAAAATAAAACTTATTTTTAACTTAAGTGATTTTCAATGGCAGATCGACTTTTGGATACAAAAGTTTCTCACCAAGTGTCTGCTCTTCATTTTTTGTCTCTTGCTTTCTTCCTGATGGCTCAACATTCTCATGTTCACGATTCTCTTAAAAATACCTTGCCACTTCTTAATTTGTACTGTAAAATTTATTTAATTACTTAAAATTACCTTCTGCCAAATTATCTAACTCATTTGTTGATCCAATGGAAAAAGAAACATTTCCTCACATGCTACATGAATTGGTTTTGTCTTTCCAGTTCCAGTCATGAGTTTGCCCCAGAGTATTGTTACTTGGCCTTAAATTTCATTTTCACTGTATCCATGCTTTTGAGATGGAGCACAGATTTCTGAGACCTTCATTTACGTCATGATTCCAGAAATGTTCTGTCTGAAACAATGATTTCTTCCTTGGAGATTTGTTGGGGGTTTATTACTTATCCTCCAAAGCTCTGTGAAGTTCATCATGATAAATATAGGTATAAAGCAGGTGGAACGCTACTTACACCAAATGCTCTTCACATACATCTTTCACTTCAAGACATTAGTGATTTTCATTTTATTTAAGGTCACCACAGTTTTATTGCTGTTTTGGAACAGCTTAGATAAACCTTTGTGATGAGATCCCTCAGAATTGGTGTCAGCCCTATTCTGGTTGAATACTTGGAGGGTTAATCAATGTCTACAGGCTCCTGTAGCCTTTGTGGTGTTTTTTTTTCTTTTGACTCAAACTATTGAGACCTGAGGTGTCCTTTTTAGTGCACAGTGCAATAATACTACCTTATTTTGTTTTTCTACAGGTGGCTTAGGAACATTTCATGCTTTGTTGAACTGCATTGTACACGTTATCATGTACACTTATTATGGAATCTGTTCTTTGGGGCCGGCCTATCATAAATACTTGTGGTGGAAGAAGTACATGACGACTATTCAACTTGTGAGTAGTTTTCCATTTGACTTCAACATGTCTGCATTAGCATCAGCTTTCTGAAAGAATGCAATATATTTATGCCTTTTATATTCTTGTAAATATCATACAGTTATAGTATGTGGCTATATATATAGTCTATATATATATAGTATATACATAGTATGCGGCTAGTGGCTGAATTTTCAAAATTGAGTTAATTCAAAATTAATTTAACTTCTGGCTAAGCAATTACTGCTTGCAAACAGATCTGTGTAACTGGGAATGATTTAGCTTGAATATTTATAAGTTATTTAGAGGCCTTTTGTCTTGGCAGTATTACCTGTGGATTATTAACTTGGCGGTCATGTGGAAATTTTCTTTTAGTCCTCCATTCTTTTTTGGGATCTGCAGCCCTTTGTGTCACATGATAATATGCGGGCAGAGCTATAAGAAAACGAATGTTCAAATCCTAATGTGTTTTCTGTTCAACTGGCTAGTTTTTCCAGAGGAATGTCCCATTTGTTACTGGTCAGTGTCAAATTACTTGTTTCTTCTGAGTTGACCAGTGTGTACTCCTTTTTCTATAGTATAGGTTTCTCAGTGCTGAGTAGATTGTCCTATTGCCCTGGCACTTCTGTCTTTAATCTCAATGCAGTAACAATTGGGGAGCATCTAATGCTACATCTCAGTATCTGAAAAAGCCCCCAGCGTTTTATGGGTGTAAGTTACGCTAAATCTTCTTAAATGTCAGTAGAAAGTTAGTCTTTTAAACTCAAGTATTGATTTTCTTTATCTTTTTTTTTTTCCCAGGTTCAGTTTATTATGATTACAGCCCATATAGGACAAATCTATATCATGGATGATTGTCCATACCAGTATCCAATTTTCATGTTTATTATTTGGCTATATGGCTCTATGTTTTTAGTCTTGTTTCTCCACTTCTGGTACCACGCCTACACGAAGGGACAGAGACTACCAAAGATGACAAGAAATGGCATCAACAAAGATCAGTGAAAAAAACTCTTGACTACGGGGGAAAAAAAAAATAAAAAAAAAATGTGTATGTCAAAGTTAAAACTTGCACTACTTGACAATCAAGATAATTGGGTGCACACACTACACCGTGTATATGTTGTATGTTTTCTTCCAAAGCAGACCTAGTATTTTTACTATAAGTTATTTGGGTTTCAGAATTTGGGAAATAGAAGAGCACAGTGTGGATTTGATTTTAAAAAAAAAAAAAAAAAAGAGTAAGGAGTCTTCCCTGCAAGAAATGAATAGATAGATGACATCTATCTGGAAGATGCAGGAAAATAAATGTATTTGATGAAAAAATTAAAATGTGTATGACAAGTACAAAGTACTTTGAACATTAAGGGAAAAATTACATCACTTTTGTGGTTACAAATTGTTGAGACAGCTGCATTTTATTAAAAGAAATCAGTAAATATCATCCTTAAACCTAAAGCATATTATGAGTATAGCTAATACATAAAAAGAAATGTGCTTACAAATTATATTACTTTAAAGAAAGGAATGCAAGTTAATATGTTAAAATATGGCACTTAATTTGAATAGAGAATTTTAGATATACATTCTTTTACTGAGAATTCATTTCATGTAGGAAACTTTTACTCATTTAAACATTATTCAAGATGTAGGAAAGCTACTAATACGGGGATTATCTAAACAGTCTTGCAGTGTAATGATCAAAACAAACTACTGATTTATTCACCATAGTATTATTGTATTCTTATTAGTCATTGTGTCTAGGAATATATTTTGATATAGGTAGGCTACACTGTAGGGAGGAGGAAATCCTGTAATCAAGTAATAAAAATCTTAGTCCTCACATAAGTTTTAAAGAAACTGATTTTGATTGAAACCTGAATGTCAGCTACCATGATTGTAATATGCTGTATTTTCTTCCATTCTTATTACCTATAAAAATACCTCCCTGTATGGAGTTTTATCACTATTTTTTGTTGTTATTGTTTATGCTTAACATCTCAAGGTTAATGTCTCTGTATTAATAGGACCGGTTACCTTGTCTCTGTTCCCTCAGACTAGGAAAACAGATGTGAGCCATTTTCTGAATTCCTGAGGGTAGGGTAGGTAGAGGTGGTTCCATCCAGATACGGGATTAACTGGTATGGTGTTTTCCATGGGTAGGCAGGTTGTTAGGGCCACATATACACAGAAATTAAAGGACACTGCTATTTGTATTCAAGTTGCATTTATAGTATATGAGTTCATTAAGGAAATGGCTCATGCAACAGACCTGTAAATGAGGAGATAAAGGTGTTTAAATTAATGTTACCTTTAAATGTACTGTTTTCTATTATGATCACTGCTAACAAAAAATAAGCTTGTGATTTTTTTTTTTTGCTTTGTGCTTTATCTGATCTGTGGAATTTTCAAATACACAAAACATTGGTGCAAATTTTAATTGCCTCCCTGTTGTACAATTCCAAGAAAATAAGTTTTGTAACCTAGATACTTTTATGGGGATAGCAACATTGATGTACTGTTAATGCGAAAAGAGTTTAAACTTTATCTTGGACATATGTTGCGAATAATTTCTTACAAAATTGCATATGAATCTTCTTTATAAAAACAAATAAAAATAATTTATATTTTACCTTTTCATGACTTATTCCTTGCAGCTATCAACTCTCATGGCAGATTGCAGTTAGATTAGGATTTGGGTAGTGTGTGATATATATCATGACCTTGATTTAGGTGCTTAATCCTCAAATCCTTAGTGCTGAGTTCGATTTCCCTGGCAGAGCATGGAGGGAGATTCTGCACAGATTCATACCAGCCGAAGTGCTGAGTGGGGAAATGCCATCACTGACACCAAATCTCAAACCATGCCAGACTGTATGTGTGCCCTTGGCTTCCAAAGTAGGGGGTTATCTCCTCACAGCTGGGACCTCGTATTGTATAATAATGTGTTAAATAAGTGCTGATGAAGAAAGAGTTCTCTGTAGTTTTGTAGGTAACTCCAGTTCTTGAGGAACTCATAGTTTTGGCTGTCCACTTTGCTGTTATTGCTCCCACCCCAGTTGTACAAATGCATAAACATGCAGGGATCAGAGCCAGTTGGAAGTTTTACCAGAAGAGATGGTGCACACGATCACAGTTTAGGTGGAATGTGGCCTACGGCTGAGCGTGAGGGACTGTGCACTATTTTGTTGGTCTGCAACTTAGAACCAATATCTGATTTTATTTTTTTTTCCACACACTGAAGCTGTGATAATGCATGGTCAAAACTAAGCATCAATAGACTCCTTTAAAGAGACAGGAAAATCTCCCAAGTCTAGCAGTTGTGCAGCAGCCAACTGCCTCTGCAGCCAGTTGCTGGGGATCAAGGTTTAATTAAGCAGGAGATGCTGATCAGTCCATGGGCTGTCTGCAAGGGCCACTTTGGAGTCCAGATACATAATTACTTGCAGACTGTTTTTGTTCCCGTGTGTTCCTGCAATCAGGGGCTGCATACTGAACAAGTGCTTCATTCCAAAACCATGGAATCACTCAGGTTGGAAGAGACCTTAAAGATCATCAAGTCCAACCATGACCTAACCAAACTACCCTATCTAACAACATTAATGTTATTAATCCCATCCTGGGTTGTTGCCTGTGAGAATCATACAGTCAGTACGCGGGCAGTTACACTTTTTTCCTACCTAACAACTGTATGTCAGACCTGAGCGCTACTGGAACCATTTCATGAACAGTGAACATGCGATGGTAATGAGGGTTGAGACTGCGTGTCCCCTAGGCTTATGACAGGAGAGACACAAACGCCACTACTTACTGCTGAGGAACTGAGTCTGTATTTTATCATTATTCGTTTTCTGTGAATTCGTGAAGTCACCGTGGTGACTCACCATTCTTTGCACAGGCAGCTGTCAATCCACCTTCTTTGCTGGTGTTTGTTTTCCAGCCTCAAACCTCGGTCCCTCTCCTAAACCATTCACTGCTCTGCCCTAGCAGGAAGCACAGGCAACGAGTACTTCACGGTCGTCTTAATATTTTAGCCATCTATCTTCTGGGAGGCCCAAGTGTCCCTCCGCTGTGCGCAACGGGAAGCAGGCGTTGCGTTGCACAGCCCAACGACCGCCATTCTTCACTCTCTCTGGGCTAGCTCAGCCGTTAGAGCCGAGGGAGGGAGCTTCCCGCGCTGCCCGTACCGGCAAAAGGGCGGGCTGACAGCGGGCGCAACAGAGTCGAGCCGAGCTCCACCCGACGATACCTCACCTCCCTCCGCCCGCCCCTCCGCCCGGACTGTTGGGAGGAGAGAAGGCAGCGACACTCCCCGTTCCAAGAGCGTAATGCCGGGGGCAGGACAAGTGTTCTCTCCACCAATCAAAAATGTCGACGAGCCCGTCACGTGCTGCGATTGGCGCCCAATGGGCGAAGGCGACGCCTCGCGGGCTCTGATTCAAACGGTCGGCGGGCGCAGCGCGTGCGGCTGCCGGTTTCCGTGGAGACGGGGAGGCCTGGCCGCGTCCATGGAGCCGGGGCTCGTCGGGCCCGGGCCTTACCGCGCCACCCGGCTGGTGAGTGAGCGCCCGCTGGGCCGGGCTGGTCCCAACTCTCCTGCTTGGGGCCCTGCGCTCCCTTACTTAGTCCCGGGGGGAGCTTCTCCCCTAGGGCGGTTCCGTAGAGCTGAGCCTTTGAAGGCCGAGCGCTACGGCCCCGGGCCCGTCCGGGCGGCCTTCCCCGGCGGCCGGGACCTGAGGCGCTCAGGTGCGCGCCATCCAGGCGCCGGCGTTACCTGAGGTGAGTCCGTGCGGGGCGATCGGCTCCGCGGAAGGCAGCCGTGGTCCGGTCCTCCGCCTCACTAACAGCCAACTTCCCCCTGGAGCCGCCGAGCCGTCAGGAGCAGAGGGCTGCGGGTGTCCTGGCTGCCGTGCTCGTGTGTCCGTTCTCACATCTCCAGAGTTTAAATGAAAGTTCGGGTTTCAGTGTGCTTGTTGCCCAGCTGAACGTAATCTAACCAAATCTGTGTTCTGTGTAACTAAAGCGTTTTCTGTGGAAGAACTCCCTAACGGTTTGATTTGTGTCTCCTTCCTAGTGGAATGAGATAATCGAACTTTTCCGTGCTGGAATGCCTCTACGAAAGCATCGGTGCCGCTTCAAAAGCTATGAGCGTTGCTTCAAAGCCTCAGAGGCAGTGGACTGTTTGCACGAACTACTTGGCTCTAACCAAAACTTTGGCCCAGAGGTGACCCGCAGTCAAACGGTTAAGCTGCTTAAAAAGTTCCTGAAAAATCATGTTATTGAAGATATTAAAGGAAGATGGGGCAAAGAGGACTTTCAAGATGATGGCCATTTGTATAGGTAAAGCTATGTATCGTAACTGTGGAAAATATAGGTTTTATGAAAGCATTAATAGCTTTTATGTATTGCTCCTAGAGATATTTCTGAAAAATGCTGTTGCAGTGGTATCAGGGTGTCTGTTTTCCTTTCTGTTAAAGGTACTTTCTCCTAGTGGTGTCAAGTGACAGGACTTAACACTTGATTTCTATTTTTTTTCAATATGTTTTTATAGGAACTTTTTACGTGATTTCATGCTATAAATACAGAGTCTTTTGTAGATTTTACAAGGTGGCAGACTCATTATCCTGTTGATAGACCTCAGGCTTGTCAGTAGCTGAAAGTGTATTGAAAAGTGCTGATGAAAGTGGGTATGATACTGAGCATCCAGCTCCAATTCTCCTTCCCGAACCCCACCCCCATCTGCCTTGGATGATGTTTCCACTCTCAGAGAAGAGGGGCCATTTGAATTTAAGTATCATCTGCAACAATGCTTTTCTTTACGCCTTGGATCATCGATTGATATATTCTCTAGTTAAGAAAGTCTCCTGAAAGAAAGAAATTCTTATTTACATCAACGACAATTGTTTGTTTATCCTTGTTTAACCTTTAACTTGTACTTCGTTAACAGAGATAAACTAATCTATTTGAGTCAAAAGCTTAGCATCTTTAGAGGGGTTCTTTCACTTCTTGTGGCATCAGTTAAGGTTTGGGTATCAAGAAGTTGCGAGTTCCAAATTCTTACATTCTTATATTGTCCTGTTTAATAATGTAAAAGTAAACATTATCTTTAGCATGAATTTGTAATGTACATTGTGATGAATCTTCCATTGAAGAAATGGAAGCAGTAATGTTACATTTCTACTTATGAGTCTTTCTCATAAAGCATTTTTTTCTTATTTTTATTTTTCCATGGAAAATATTAAGAAATCATTGTAAGTGTAATGTTGAATTTCCACTTGGTGTGAAGTTAGTTTTCTTTATTTTTCTGTGTAGTCTTTCGTAGTCTCTAAACTGATTCGTTAGCTTTTTTTTCCCACTCTCTTATCCATACGTCTATGCTCTAAATGCTGCTTTTCACTACTGCTCATTTTCTCTATTAACTTAGAATACTATAACAGTAAAAGTTATGTATGATGTAATTTTTTCTCTGTTGTTATAAACAGAATATGGCTGAGATATTTTTCTCATAAAATAACCACATTTAACAAACTTGTGCAGATGATTTAAAATCAATTGGATTTGTAATCAATTCAGTTAACATTAATATTGACTCAAATTTCTTTACTGCTGCATGGCATCTTTCAATTAGTGGCTGCAAGTTCTTGGTTAATATTCTGAAGAAAAAAAAAACACAAAACAAAAAGCCTATACCTGAGTGTTATAACTTCTAGCCAAGTAAGTTAAATATTTGAATCAATTTTAATCAACCTTTGTAGGAGAAACTTTAAATAAATTTGGAGGAATAAAAATTGATTGTGTTCTCCAAATTTAGCCTTGTTGGGGGGATTTCATGTTATCGTTAAACAAGGAAATGTTAAATTCTGAAACTTTAGAGTCAAATTCTAAGGACCCAGGGTCTTGTAAAAGGAAGATATTTTGAAGACTTCACCCAAGAAAGTCTCTTGCTAAATATCTGCATACAAAATATGGCTTGTGCAGTCTATAAGCTGGGAATGCCTTGGAAAGAATTCTAAGAATTTTAATGTGTTGTCCTGTACTTAAACTCTTTTCTGGCCATCTGCTTTTGGCTGCTGTGTGGGTTGGGAGGAGGGAGCAGATACTGTTATCTTCCCCCATGAACTACCCAATGATTCAACAAGCTGAGGGGCTCTTGCATCTTAACCTTTGGCTCCAGTTTAAAGTCAAGTATAATGGAATGATGTGGTATGACCTGGTTTATACAACTGAAAATCACCTTCTGTTGGGAAGACTATCAGAAGATGCTGGCATAAAAATATGCTGAGAGTGACAGAAGATGATTAATAATCAGATCATAATCATACTCCTAGCTTGATGTTTCTAGGGGTTATGTTAATGATTGGAATAGAAAGGCTATGTATTTGGTTTTAGAGATAATTTCATTTATGTATTCCAGGAGCAATGCAGAGGAAAGAGAGGAATTTTGAAGAAACAGGAAAATATGAGAGGGGAGGGTGCAAGGTGATTTTGAAGAACTTTTGAAGAACTGTGGAATGCTTGCATAAAAGCAACTTTTGGTGTAGAAATGGTAGCACAGAATTGTAATATTTGTTATCTCCTTTTTTTCCATATGTATAGGGTTAAATATTAGTTTTCTGGCCTGCCTTTGCTCACATATTTAATGTCCTGGCAGCTCCCTCTGGTGGACTTCACTAAAGTTAACTTTTTAAATACATGTCTTATAATCCTAATATAAATTGAAATGCAAGTAGCTTTTACTTCCATTGATAATACTTGCAAGTCCAGATTTCATATTTTGCCTGCGGATTTCCATGTTAATGGACTGTAACTGTAACTATATACTATGATGCAGAGTTGTCACTAGAAACCAAGGTGGTTAGGTATTACCATAATTTTTGTATAACTGAAGTACTCCTATAGAGCATATAAGATGTGCTGTCAAATATTGTTTTGCCTGAAAGTGTTAGGAAAATTATTAATTGTGAATGTGTTAAATAGTATGCTTTCTGCAAAAGAGTGATGACTGAGTCCTGACCTAATGGCTCAATGTAGTCTAAAACAATAAATGATATGTTCCAGTTTTGGAAGCTTTCAGGCATTATGCTTCTTGGAATCTGAGCAATTGTATTAAAAGGATGTGTGCACTATAGAATCATAGGACCTTTTGAATTGGAAGGGACCCTTAAAGGGTCATCTAGTCCAGCTCCCTGCAAATGAACAGGTACACCTACAGATCAGGTTGCTCAGAGCCTGGTTGAACCTGACCTTACTTTTTGCCAGGAATGAGAGGCTTCTATCATCTCTCTGTGCAATCTGTTCCAGTGCCATACTACTCTTATCTAAAATACAAACAAACAAAAAACCACCAGTAACAACAAAAAAAACCCTTCTTCCTTATATTCAGTCTAAATATCCCTTTTTTAGTGTGAAATCATTTTCCCCTTGTCCCATCACAACAGACCCTGCTGAAGAATCTCCTTTCTTCTTAAAGCCCTAGATGCTGAAAGTCTGCGATCAGGTCACCTTGCAGCCTTTTCTTCTCCAAGCTGAACAGCTCCAGCTCACTCAGCCTGTCCTTGTAGAAGAGGTGATTCATCTTTTGGATTATTTTTGTGGTCCTCCTCTGAATGTGCTCCAACAGGTCTCTCCTGTACTGAGGTCTCTACATCTGGATGCAGTACTCCAGGTGAGGCCTCACCAGTGCAGAGCAGAGGGACAGGAGCACCTCCCTTGCCCTGCTGGTCACACTTCTTTTGATGCAGCCTGGTATACGATTGGCTTCCTAGACTTCGAGAGCACATGTCCATCTTAACATCCACCAAAACCTCCAAGACATTTTTGGCAAGGATGTGCTGCACCCTTTTGTCCCTCAGTTTGTACTAGTGGAAATTGCCATGACCCAGGTGCAAGACCTTGCACTTGGCTTTGGTGGACCTTGTGAAGTTCACCTGGATCTACTGCTTTAGTCTATCTAGGTCTCTGAATAGCTCCCCATTCCATTATGGTCTTAAACTGAGACAGGGGAGGTTTAGCTTAGATATTAGCAGGAAGTTTTTCACTCAGAGGGTGACACACTGGAACAGGTTGCCCAAGGAGGCTGTGGATGCCCCATCCCTGGAGGCATTCAAGGCCAGGCTGGATGTGGCTCTGGGCAGCCTGGTCTGGTGGTTGTTGACTTTGCACATAGCAGGGGGGTTGAAACTCAATGATCTTTGAGGTTCTTTTCAACCAGGCCATTCTATGATTCGTTCTATGTTTCCTCAGGCATGTCAACTGCAAGATGCAACTCTGTGTTGTCCCCAAACTTGCTGAGGTTTCACTTAATCCTGCTGTTGATGTAATTGATGAAGTTGTGTAAGAGTTGTGGTCCCAGTACAGGTGCCTAAGAGTCATTGCTTATCACTGATTTCTACCTGGACACTGAGCCACTGACTACTACCTACTCTCTGGGTATGGTCTTGCGATCAGCTCCTCATCTGTAGAACAGTCCATCCATCAAATCCATATCTTTCCACTTTGAAGAGAAAGATACTATGGGGTACTGTATTAAGGGTCTTGCTGAAGTCCAGATATATGACATCAGTAGCTCTTCCCTTGTCCACTGAGAAAGTTATGCCGTTGTAAAAAGTGACAAACTTGAATAAGGCAGAATCTGCATTTGGTGAAGACATGCTGGTTATTCTATATCACCTTTCTCTCTTCCGTATATCTTAGCATAGCCTGCAAGAGCATCTGCTCCATGATCTTACTGAGCACTGAGGTATGGCAAAAACGTCAATAGCTCCCTGGGTCATCCTTTCTACTCTTCTTAAAAGTGGGTGTGACATTGCCTTTTCTCCGGTCACCAGGGACTTCATCTGAGTACTGTGACTTTTCAGATACCACTGAGAGTGGTTTGACTATGTCAACCAATTCCCCCAGGACTCTGCAATGCATCTCACTGGAACCCGTAAACTTATGGATGTTGAGGTTTCTCAGATGATCACAAATCTGATCTCTGCTTACAGCAGAATGGGCACTGCTCAGCCAATTTCCATCTTCTGAACCACCTACTTGAGGGCTGTGTGTAGAGCACCAGCTAGTGAAGGCTGAGACAAAGATGTTATCTGTCTTTTCCTTATCTGTTTTTACCAGCCTACCTTTGTTGCTCACTGTACTTTTCTGGTTGATATACCTGCAGAAATCATTCTTCTTTACACCCTTTGCCAAATCCAGCCCAGGTTGGGCTTTGGCCTTCCTAATCCCATCCCTACTCAGCCTAGCAGTATCTCTATACTCCTCTCAGGTTACCTGTCCCTGCTTTCACTGCCTGTGCATTTTCTTCTTACTCTCTAATTTGATGAACAGGTTCCCTAGTTCAGCCATGACTGTCTCATGTCTTCCTTTTCCCTAACTTCCTTCATATGGGGATGAAGAGCTGTTGAGCACTAAGGAAAGCTTCCTTAAATACCTGTCATCTCTGTTCCACTCTCTTGTCATGGAGAGCTATTTCCGTTGCAGTTTTGTTATCTAACTCCCTGAAGAGCTGGATTTTGGCTTTCCTAATATTAAGCTTCCTGATTTTACTCTCTGCCTATCCAGTATCTCTCAATAGTGTGTGAACTTCACCATTGTATTATCATTGCAGCCCAGGCAGACTCCAATCGTGTTGGTGAAAAACAGGTCCAGTATTGCATCCTCTTGGTGGGACTCAGGAAGTCACCCTTAATGCAATCCAGGAACCTCGAAGTGCCTGCAACTTGCTGTGCTACTTTTCCAGCAGATGTAAGGTTAGCTGAAGTCCCTCAGCAGGATGAGAGCCTGACATTATGGTGTCCCCTGTAGCTGGAGAAAGAAGGCTTCATCAACAGGCTCTGCTTGATCAAGTGTCCTGCAGTAGATGTCAACCACAAGGCTTCTTTTGTTGCCTCTGTCTCTCACCTGTAGGCTTTTAACTTGCTCATGGCTGTTTTTCAGGGGCAACTCTTCACACACTATTTATTCCTTGATGTAGAGGGAATTGCCTCCTCTCTTCCTTCCTTACCTGTCCTTCCTGAACAAAACGTAGATGTCAATAGCCACACTCCAGTCATGGGAATCATCCCACCAGGTTTCTGTAGTTGATGGCAACTGGTTTTCCAGAAGCCACTGGTGGCTTCTATCTCCTGTTTGTTTCCCAAGCTGCATGTATCGGTGTAGAGGCATTTACTTCAGCTGGACAGCTGGCCTTGCTGTCTTCTTGCACGATAACTACTTAAATCCTTTCAAGTGTTTGCCTTCAGCCTTCTTGTTGCTTTCAGATGTCTGGGAATTCATCTGTGACAATTGTTACACCATTAATTCAAAGTTAATTGACACAAAAAGGTATCTTTGCTACCTGCTTGTCTAAACTGCTAAAACTAGTGTTATTTGTAGAAAGCAGCGTAAATCTTGACATATCATCTTTGGAATGCTTCTCAGTTTCAGTCTAACTCTTGGATTACTTTTGTATACAAACCAGAGATTTTCACTGTCCATCCAAAAGCTTGACTACCTGACTCTTGCTGTAATGCTATGTCATGGAGTTTCTCTAGATCTAGCTGATATGCTGATTGAAAAAAGGTCATAAAATCATGACATGTTATTTGAAAAGAGGGGAATGCATCTACTTTTTCTGGTATCAAGAGCTTCTTTCCTGGTTGAGGAAATTAAGTGACACATTTAGATGTTAGGATGAGCTGGAAGGGAACTAGGAAACTACTGAGAATATTGAAAAAAAAAAAAAAAAAAAAAAAAAAAAAAAGATTAACCCAATAAAACTAGAAAATAAAATTAATGTGAAAGCTAATTAGATGTTGGGATTGAAAAGGTGAACTAAAATTTTAAAGAACTTGAGAAATCTTGAGCATGAGAAGCTTTCTGGTAGGATATGACTGTGTGATATCTAGTCGTGCACAAGTTCTTGTTGTTGTAACTGTCCTTCACATGCTGATTAAGGGGATGAGGGAGGTAAAAGCAATTGGAGCATCAGAAATCTTAGCATATAGAACTTGGGAGTATGGGTATAAATGAGAAAAATCTCCATCATCTGAGCAAGATTGATGGAAGATTATCATCAAACATCAAGATTTATTTCTAATGTGCTGTCATTAATTTCTTTATATACGCTCCCAGCTAGGTGAGGATTCTTTGTTTACCAGTACCTATAAGGTCTAGCTTATTTCTGCCAATTTCTTCAAGGCCCTTCTTGAAATGCATTAAAAGGTGAAAACCTTTTCCAGCAACCAGCTGGAAAAGACTCCAAATTGCAAGATATGATCTTCGCATAGAAAACATGTAGGCAAGAAGAATATGGTAATGTGGACAGAACTTTATGCAGTCACTATCCTTGCTTTAGGAGATGCATGCTAGCAGTTGAACACATGGGAGAAAAACCTACCTACAGCTTTTTCAGCAGAAATCCACCTTCTAAAGAATAGTCAGGTGGTGTTATTTGAGATACACCAGAGTATCAAGGACATCCATCCAAGGCTTTCAGTTACATCATAGGATATACGGAGGGCTTAAGCTATTCTGGAACAGCAGATAAAGGCCAAATGACTCATCTTAGAATGTTTAACCTTTTACTTAACACCTATCTTCAGGCAACTAAGGTGCTCTGTGAATGTCCAAGGTTTTTGCTGTATGTGCATGTGAAAGCTTACTTGCATAGTTTTCCTTTGGTAAATATGGAATAGTGTGAAGTTCAGAAGCTTTAAAAGTGTTCTCCTATTATAGATTTCCTCCTTCCTCACCACTGAAGCCATATCCAAAGAAACCTTCATTTGGAAAGGAAGTCATTAAATTTCCAGATTGGAATGATCCAAAGGCTGGCACTTCCGAAGAACGCATTCCTGTGAAATCAATCATGATGGTAAGATACCCAGTTAATTTCTCCAGACCTATACACATTTGGAAAGCAAAATTCAATCAGGAATTCTTCATTGTGCCACAAATTACAAATTGGTTAGAGAATTAAATGTAAAATACTTTTAATTGTGTGGAGCAAAGTTGTTCGTAATGATTTGCTGAAGATTTTGGCTTTGAGTATTCTTTCTGTTACAGATTGTAATGTACTTAGCATTCTAAGTTCAGCATGGGTGCATTTGCCAATATATTTGCATCTCAGTGTACTCTATTTCAAGTGATGCATTTCTTATCACATAAGACAAAATAGTTCCTTTACTTTTGCTTATAACATAACTTCTATTCTGCTTCTTCATGTTGCAGAACATGCATAATATACTACCTTGCTATGTACTGTAAAGTTGCTGGTGATTCCATTTCCTTTTCTACAAGGAGTACATTGTGGTGAAGGAGAAGCTGTCCTCCTTTGTTGCTATTCTTGGTGATCTTGGAGAATCATCCTGCTCTGTGCTCACTTGGATTGATCCAGCTTTTACAAAGTTGGGAAAAAATATTACTTTTATTTTTAAAAGAAATTCTGTCACTTGTCTCCAATTTTATACTGTAAAAGCCTAGGCCTTTTGAGTTTTCTTTGTTCTAAATTTTTCTTTCTGTTTAAATTGTGGTCTCATCCTTTTTATATACTGTTGGGACTTCTTTTACAATTTTAGCCTTTTTATTAATGCTTTTCAGTGCAGGACTTTTGTCTTGGATTTCTTGGTGAATGATAGTCTGTTTGGAAAAGCAGTTCCTACTGTTCTGCTGAATATTAAGAGGTTCTGAGCAAATAGCTATTCCACATTTGTAATGCAGTTATTTACATGCAAATCAAATGTTCTTTTCATGTGCAGCAAGTTCTGTGGGGAGACATGGTCCTTAGAACTGTAATAGTAGGTAAACGATTTATAAGGAGGAAAGAAAAGATAGTACAGAAGGCAAGTAAAAAAAATAGTGCTTTAGACTAGTTGCCTTAAAAAAAAAAAAAAAAAAAAGTTGTAGATTCTATTGAAGGGTGGAGTGGACAGGTAACTTAAGGTGGTTTAACCAAAACTTAAATTGCTGCAGCATCAAATAGAGCACTTATTGACTACATGTGAATTGACAGGCATGGATGTAGGTAGTGAAATACTGATGTGGAAAGCCAGATATTAATTGCAGAGGATTTCTTTAGATTTCAAACTATCTCCAGTCTAGTGTCATGAAGTGACTGTTAGCGTTGGAGTGATTAGGTGCATTCCTGGAGTGCATTTTATGGTATAGCTGTGATCACAAGGAATGCTGTTAATGTGATCATTGCATAGTAACTAGGAATGATCCAGAATTTTGTTTTAGAGTACACTGTGAACACAGCCTGCATTGTATGTGCACACATCAGCACACTGATGAAAATTTTCAAGCACCAAACTGGAATGTTAAAACTGAGTAAAGGATAATAGTCACATGAACTTGTATTCTCTTTACTTCTCTTTTATAACAATAGATTAGATATGGTGGATGTCTTTATCTGTAACCGTGTGCTTTCATTTTATTGCTGTTTTGAACTTGCTAAAAAGTTTACTATTTAATTGATCAACATACAATGAACAAGAACAAAAAAAAAGTTTTTATCTCATCTACAAATTTTCCAATAATTTTTCTATAAACAAGTGTTTAGTCTTAGTATGGTAGTCAATTTGAACTGGTTTTGGGCTCAAAATGCTTGCATCTTGGAGATTTTGCTAGATTTTAAAACATCTTAAAATTATTGCATGTGACATATTTGTGTTACGCTGTTAAGTATTTGAAAAATCACTGGCTAATGAGCTGTGCTGCTTTTTCTTTCTTCTGATTTTAGAATTCTGAAATGTGGTATAAGCGTCACAGTATAGCTATAGGGGAAGTACCAGCATGCAAGCTTGTTTTTCGCAGAGAGTTAACACAAGAAAATATAGAAGAGATATGGAAATCAATGACTTTGTCACGGTGAGTATGCATGTTAGTAATCTAAACTGAGAGTAAAACTGTATAGCAGTCAACAATCTTGTCTGTCTTCCCTAGCAGTGTTCCTAGCTTCGTCCACTCGCCTTTCGTTGTTGCCATAGTGTCAATACTAACTATCCTGCAAAATCAGCAGATCAAGTTCACGAGAAAACTTCAGTACTTTTTGACTTTTTTCTCTTATACTATTTAAATCCTTTTATTGTGTGGGCTTTGTTTTGTTTAATTACATTTTTCTCTGAATCTTTCTCTTCTCCTGTTATGAAATTGAATAACTCATATAGAAGTAAGACACCATTAGGCCTTTTAATGAAAAGTACAAACTTAATATAAGCAAAGAAATAGCTATGTCTGGAAGTCTTTGAGAAATTCCTTGCATTTTTCATAAGGAATATCCTATGCAAAACTAAATACCTTATTTTAGAACATTTTTTTGCCCTGCAAAAATATGCTTTAGATAATTTTACATTATGATATCTTTTCATCTAGGCCTGGCATACTATCTCTATGTAATAAACTTGATCTAGTGCAATGTAGCATAGGAAACTGTGTGATCAGAGAATAGTGTCAGTCTGCTCTACTCCTCCTTTGCATGCTTGTGACTTAAATAATAAATGTAAACGGTCTCTTTCAGAACTGTATCTGTCCTAATGCTATATATTTCATTGCAAATTAGATTATGTATTTATTGTGCTTTTATGTATTTTTGCAGACTACAAAAAGTCTTGGGTTTGGATTGCCTGGATGAAGTGATTGATACGAAGCTTGTGAATTCAAAGCATATTGTCCAAAATGCATACAATGTCAATAAGCAAGGCATTGTCACTTTAGAAGACAAATCAAGTGAGTATTTTAGAAGTTCTTGTTTAACTTCTTATGTTGTAGTTTATTATTTTTAAAAAAGAAAAACAATATTAACTCTGATTTATATAAATACATAGCAACTTCACACTTTTATAACCACATTCCATAAAAACTCTAGTTTTTTTAATGTGCTATTGGTGTTGTGCACCCCAACAGCAAGAATCAGTATTCTTTTTCCATACACACATTTTAATATCCCTGCTTTAGTACTTGTATTAGGTTTATATGGGAAAGCTTTGGCAGCAAGGAGGATGCTGTAAGAAGAGCCTAGCAGCTGCCCCATGTCAGCTCAGAGCCAGTACCACCTGGCTCCAAAAAAGACCCAGTGATAGCCAAAGCTGATCCAGTGAGTCATGCTGTGAGATCATATTTAGGAAAGGGGAAAAAATGCTGCACAACAGCAGGTGGGAGAGAGGAAGTGAGAAGAGAAATGGGAGAAACAATCCTACAGACACCAAGCCCAGTGTAAGAAGAGGGCAGAGACAAGGAGGTACTCCAGACCCAGAGCATTCTGAGGAGTCTATGGTGCAGCAGTAGATGTGTCCTGAAAGATGCTGCAGTTCATGGAGTTCTTTGCTGGAGTAGGACCTGTGCTGTAGCTGCCACCCGTGGAGGACTCATATTTGAACATTTAACTCCTGAAGGGTGGATCCTGTGGTACTGACTCACACTGAAGCAGTTATTGGAGAAATGTAACCTGTGTGTGGGGGGGTACTGTTTGTAGCTTGCTTTCAGTTTCATGCTTAAGTTTGTTATTATCAGTAGACAATATTAATTTCCCTAATGTTGAGTCAGTTTTGCCTGTGAGAGTGATCAGTGATTGGCGAGTGATCTGCCCCATCTCAACTTGCAATTTTTTTTCATCGTATTTTCTTCCCTTGGGAGACTGAGAGGGAATGAGAACTATGTGGTGAAGCTTAGCCTACTTACTAGTGCGAAACCATCACAGCAATACTGAACGAAGGTGAAGGAACTGACATTTTTCAGTTAAAATTGTAGGGATGTATTTTTTGAAGCTGCCTTTGTCAGTCTACCTGTGCCTGGAGTGTCTGCAGGAGAGCAACATGTAAAAAAAATAAATTAAAAAAAAAAAAAAGAAGAAATGATGAGAATATATACAGAGAGGCTTAAAACTTCTAATTTCGGTGTTTTTAGTCAGTATATTTTGAAAGAAGCACCATGTAAAACTGCTTTTCCTCACTAGGGAAATATGAAATATGATATGAGGGATTACTTAATATTGTAACCATGTTTTCCATAAGATCTGTAGAGAAGTGAGAGATCAGGTAGGAACCTGATTTGGTTTATGAAAGTAACCACTTCTAAAGCATGTATGTGTTAGTTCTCCAGACAGTTGACTGGAGACTTCAGGACATTTCTTTCCTCTTTTCAGAAATGACGAAACTGAACATATGAATGCTTTTCATCATCTATAGTATAAAATAACCACTTTACACATTCACTAGTCCCTCACAAAAATTTGAATAAGTTTGGTTAAATTTTACAAGGCAGATTAAGGATTTACTATATGATACAGTTTTCCTTATTAAGAGTTGTAGTTGTAACTGGTTGATATTGAAGCATCGAATATACTATGTTTGTAATCTGACCAAAGTTATTTGTCTGTATATTAAGTAGTAATCTGTTTTTTTCTTTCAGTCTACTTTATAAGAGGAACTTCATTAAGAATTTTGAGTTCACTATGATCTTAGAATTTGTAGTAGGAAAAAAAAAAACAACAAAAAACGAACACCTGAGTTACTATTTTCATTTTTTTTTTTATTTTTCCCTTGTGCAGAGGACCTACCTCACTGGATATTGTCAGCAATGAAATGCCTAGCAAATTGTAAGTAAACTTGGAATTAAACCTAAAATATCACTTAAGAAAAAAATCATCTTCATGATGATTCACAGCTTCACCAAATATCAGTGATATTCATAGTCAATATTTTTCCTGATAATGGCCTTGAAAACAATGTTGAAAAAGACCAGTCAGTCAGCATATGTTCTCCTGTCAGTGCAGTTTACTTCACTGAAGTATCTTAAGGTTAAAGTATTTCTATTTTTCTCGCAATTATGTTTGTTTCCACTAGATCTGTTGGAAATATAAATGAACTATTTTTAATAGTGTATATAAGTTTCTTTCCTGCGTGAATTTGCACTTGTAGTGGCTGGAATAGCAAACAGTGATGAAGTTGATGAGCTGCAAATTAACTTTTTTTCTTCTTTTTTTTAATAGGGCCCATCTGCTCAGATTTGAAGCAACCTACATATTCAGGATTTGAAAGAGATGTCTTCAAAACAATAGTGGACTACTTTGGCCAGATGAAAGAACCACTTCTTACATTTAATTTTTTTGATGTTTTTGTTAGTGTGTTAGGTAAGTGGTCTGGGATGTAACAAGAAATGTATTCCCAGTGCTTAAAAGAAAGTTTAATTTTTTGCTATGGCTTTTTAAGTGTTGACAAAAACAAATTAACTACCATGTAGAAATAGATAGCCCATAGAGAGATAAAAAATATGAAAAATTAGAAAAAATAGGAAAAAAATTCTGGGTTTAAAAGTAAACATACTTTGTAGCATGCTGTTTTTTGACCCTCTTTGCCAAAAGGCACAACATTGCATTTTCATATGCATTGCATAATCTTTGGAACTGAAAAAAGATTTCAGAACAATTACATTCAATAACTGCTAAGGTTATATAACAATTCTTCAGCTAGTAAAGGGATCTATCAGTTACTGACATTTTTTAGGAATTTAGTATTTTTGTACTTTGTTCGTATCTAGTTCACTATCTTCAAATTGAATATAGTTCCATTTTGAAATTTTTTTCTGAGGCAACAAATGTTCCTGACAATATCTTTAAAATCCTTCCTACTGCTTTTTTTGTTATTCTATTGTATTCAGTATGTTTCAGGACTGAGTTTCATTTCACAGTAAAAATGACAATGAGGAATTCTTATCAACAGTTATGCACAAGTGAAAAGAAATTGTCCACTCTTTCAAATAAGTGTGAAGTCACTTACTTCACAAAAAAAATATATTCCATATATAATTTATTCTTAAAAACAAAAATAAAGATATACAACAAGTAATGAAAGTATAGGATTTTAAGAACTACTTTGTTTTCAATCTTCATATTTTGCCAATTTACTTAAAAATACCAGCAGTATATGTTTGAAATTGTCAGCCTACTCTGGACACAATTTACAGGCATTTAAATATCAAAGAAGTTGCATGTGGTTGTAATGGGATGTCTTGGGATATTTGATTTAGGTACCTTCAGTTTCTTATGTAAGGATAAGAGTGGTTGGACTAGAGTATTCCCAGGTGTTTTTTCCATGCTGTTTTACTTTATGATTCAATTATTAGTTTCCCTATTTACCTGGAAAAAGAAGTTCAAGAAGGCAATTCATCTCCCTGTTGTGATGTCTCACTCTCCTTTTTGTACACAAAAAATGGTTCCTACTGGTAGTAGGAAAGCAAATAAGGGACCTAACTCTATGCATATGCAAATAATGTGGGAAATAAATGAGGAATTAATTGTGTATGTCTGTTGGTCTATGATCTTATTGGTACCACAGAGGCATGATGGGATGGGCACAAGTTCTTTAAAAATGACATTTAGGTGAAGTGAAGTCACTACTCAGTGACCAGCTGAAGTGTGTGGAGCTCTGCCTGAGAGTAGATGAGGAATAGACAGAATTTATGGATAAAAGGAGGGCAAGGACAGATGACATTATGATGGTGATCTGCTGTAGGCTGTAAATAGGAAAAATATGTGGATGAGGCCTTCTACTGAGATAGAAGTTTCACTTTCACAAGGCCTGGTCCTGGGGGGCCTTTAAGCACTATGATATCTACTGGAGGGACAACACTCTTGAAGATTCCTGAAACAAATCATAGAATCTCAGGTGCTTAGGTTGGAAAAGACCTGAAAGATCATCAAGTCCAATCACAACCTAACCGTATTACCCTAACAGCCCACTGCTAAATCATGCCCCTGAGCACCATGTCTGAACAGTTTTTAAACATATCCAGGGGTGGTGACTCAACCACTTCCCTGGGGAGCCTATTTCAGCGCTTAACAACCCTTTCTGTAAAGAAGTGCTTCCTGATATCCAACCTAAGCTTATCCTGGCACAACTTGAGGCCATTTCCCCTCTTCCTGTCACCAGTGAGAAGAGACAGTGTAAGGCACTGTAAGCACCTTTCAGATATTGGAGGAGAGCTCCCCCCAGTCTCCTTATCCTCAGACTGAACAGCCCCAGTTCCTTCAGTTGCTCCTTGTAGGGCTTATTCTCCAAGCCCTTCACAAGCCTTGTTGCCCTTCTTTGGACCTGCTTCCTTCTCCAAAGGATAGAAAAGCCAGTGAGGAGATGTACTATGTAATTCACCAACAAGATGGGGCCTGTAGGGAATGTGAAGGTCCAACGAAGTCTTAGCTGCAGTTGCCTTGGAGTGGTGGAGTGGAATCACAAAGGTTCACAACAAACTGTGAACCCCAGGAGAGCAGACTTTAGCATCTACAATAATCTTCTTATCAGACTGGGATAAAGTCCTAGAGGGAAGAGGGGCTCAAGAATGCCAATTCATAGATTGCCTCCAAGATCAGGAGCAATGTATCCCAGCACAGAGAAAGTGACAAAAATATCAGGAGACCTGTATGAATGAACAAGGAACTGCTGGCCAAACTCAAACACAAAAAGAAAACATACAGAACATCAGGACAGATAACGTGGGAAGAATACTCTTCCTTCCCAGAAAAGGAGTCTGGGGAGATGGATTCTTAAGATGTTTAGAAAATACCTGTGGAAATAGACATTGAGAAATGTTTCTATGTTACTTTTTTTTTTTTTTAATGATAAACCAGGTCTGCTGCAAAAACACAGTGAGGCTATAGAAGCTCTTCAAATATCTTGTCTCCTGCTGCCACCAGAAAATCGGAGAAAACTGCAGCTGTTGGTGAGAATGATGGCAAGAATTAGCTTTAACAAGGATTTGCCACCTCTTTCTGAATCAGTGAGGACCAGAGTCTTGGTATGTATAGTAATAATGCAGAAGATCTTACAAGGCTTTTGGGGTAGCACAGATAAGATTCTTACTGGAGAGCATATGTAAAATAAGGCTTGCCTACGTGATGAATAGTTTTTCTATTCCAACTATGCAAAAACATCTGAATTTGAACAAGTTGCTTTTGAACTTGTGAGCAAATGCAGAACTTGCTCAGGACTTGAAGGTTTCCCCCATCTTAAAATTAAATCATCACTGATTTGTTTTCTACACAGACTTAAATAGACTGACTACCAAGTGGATAATAATGAAAGAATAATAGAAGATGAGGTCTTTGTTCTTCATCACTGCAAAAAGTGTAAGAGAAACAGATTGTCTGTTTCAATTAAAATTAAAAATATATGTCTGAATTTTTTGTTTACCAGTTTTAGCAGTGAAAAGAGCAAATTGTGCCAAATGATTCCAGTATTCATTTTTGTTCTTCACTTAACTACAGAAACATTCTTCACTACATGTCATTTTTATTCATATTTTGACAAACCCCTAGTTTATGCTAATGTCATTTTTGTAGGGCTATTTATATATTTATCACAAATTTCAATGACATGTTGACAAATATGAATGTTATCACAGTCATATTTGTATTGGTTTTTTTAGGCAAAATTTAGCTATTCCAACTGAATATTTCTTTTTGTTAACATTCAAGTTCTCTGCAAGGACTAGAGCATTGGAAAGCTCAGCCATTCTATAAAAATCCTAGGATGTCTACATCTAAATTTGTTCCATAACAATGAAGATTTTAATTAACTATGAATGATATTTTATTAAAATAATTGAATTATTGACTAATACTTATAATTAATTAACTGTAAATGATATTTTTTACAAAAATAACATAATTATAAGGTAAATGTTATTTTTTTGAAGTAAATCCTATACAATCCAAGTATTTGTATTATGTTTTATTTCAGTGGTGTTATCTACATCACAAAGCAGAAAACCTTGTTTGTTTTCTGTGCTAGAAATGTTAATAGTGACTAGTACACAGCTGGAAAGCTTGTTGTCTCATATTCAAGTGTTACATGTAGTGAGCTGCACCTGAAATTTTATTTGAAGGATTAGAAAGTAATGGCATTAAGTTTTCCTTCTGCCACTTCACTTCTATTCAATTGCTGTGTTGTTTTTAAAAACTCTGAAATATTTATGCCCTATTTGACTGGAAAGGCCAAGTGAAATGCTTATTTGTGGAGGTACTGAGAGTAAAATGAAGTGCAGCCATTCTATGCCTTAGGTCAGCATTAGATTGTTTGAGGCAAGAGCCACCTTTGGTCCTTTCAGTGTCAGTGCAGTACACAATGCTCTTCCTTTTTTGTTTTTTTAAATGATGCGTTGGAAGTATGGTGAGTATTTTGTTGTTAAGAGATCTTTTAGGAAAGATTTTAATACAGACTATTTTTTCTCTATAAATAGAAAAATAAACTTTTTTTTTCCTCAGATGGTTCAAGCATTTTCCCGTTGTATTCTCTGCTCGAAGGATGAAATGGACTTGGATGAACTGCTTGCTGCTAAGCTAGTATCTTTTCTCATGGACAATCATCAGGAGATATTAAGTGTTCCATCCTCCTTAAAATCTTCTATAGAGGAACATGTTGTGCATGTCCAAAGAGTTCAAGTAGGTGTCTAGTGGGAAAAAATACCTTGTGTCACTCTGCCTCAATAGCAAAATCATGCTTTTTGCTCTTGAGTTTGATGTATCTTAGACTTTGGTCTGTCTCTGCTAACATATTAAGAGCTAATTTATTTTGGCTACTGATACTCTATCATAACTATATAGTTAAATGAAACTAAACAGATCTTGGACGTCTTAGGTACAAACATGTTTCCATCTTGGTCACTCCGTCTTCTCCAGGAATGGGATCACAATATTTTGAAGGCATCCATATGTACTCAACTTTATCATAACTTTTTTTCCTTTTTCCAATATCATATTTTTCATGTTTAGTTCAACATTTATTGATTTCCACTGAAGTACTTAGCCATTTCTTTTTCCAAGAATTACACAGGCTTCTTTGTTTCATGCTTCTTGACTTACTGGAACTCACTCTATTTGTGCAAGAGGTAGGAGGTAGAATTTGTGGTCTTCTCTTTTTCTGTTGAATGACTTTGAGTAAAATTTAATGACTGTAATGATACAGTAGTCAGCTTGGTGAGGTTTTTGGTTTTTTTTTCCCAAACTTGTTGCAGAGAACAACTTTTTTTACATTCTTTCTCCAGATAAAATATGCTGGAGCTGACACCAATGCGACTTTTCCTGCTCCATCGTTTTGCCATCAAATCAGCACAGATGAATTTGAATACCAAAGGGCAACTGGCTCTCAGGAACCGCTGGCAGCTTTACTAGAAGAAATTGCAACGAATAAAGAAATATCTGTGAAAGACAAGAAGAAGAAGCTCAAACAAGTAAGTAAAAATTTCTCTGGTATTCATTTAATTTTGAAAAGCTTTATGGATTTTTACATTTATGGTCCTCTAAGATAATAATGATTCTTAAAACAGTAGATAATTTTGGGCATTTATAACTTTTAATCATTTAGAACAGAGGTGCTGTAGTGAATAAACCATACTGGAAAACATCAATTAATTTTCTATACAGAGATATAGAGAGTGTTTTGGAGGAATTTTCTTTCTCCATTTGTGGATATGACAATTCATATTTTAAAATGCCAAATATGAGTGAATTTTTTATTTAAATTGATTTATTTTTCTAGTTTCAGAAATCTTACCCTGAAGTGTATAGAGTACGATTTCCTACTCCTGAAACTGAAGCAGTGCTATTTCCAGAAAAATCAAAACAGAAGCCACCACTTCTGATGTGGGCTTTAAGAAAGCCATTTCAACCATTTCAGAGAACCAGAAGCTTTCGGATGTAAAGAGTTTGTATGTAATACATCAGCAAACTGAGTCAAAGCAAATTTTCAATGGATCTTACACAAAAGGAGTCTGAGCAGCATGTAATTTGCTCAGAAAAAATACTGGAGACTGTAGAGAACATCAATAGAGAAGTGTTGAGGACATAGAAATGTGAGCCAGTATCAGTATTTTTGTAAATCATGATTTTTTTTGATGTCTATTTTGTAGTTCTTAAAAACAAGATGATTAACTTGCATTGGGGATAAGGCACGCTTGCTGTAGTTTGACCATCATTTCAAGGTCAAAACTTGTGTGCAATGTATTGTTAGTTAATCAAGAGAATTTTTTTCTTGTTGTATAAACTAGGCCATTTGTTCATGCGTAGCTTGAGAAATTCTTAATCTGTAAGTAAACAAATAAGTATGTAACACTGGATTTTGTTTTTCTGTTGTTTGCTCTGTTGTTCTTATATAAAATTTATTTCATAAAACTGTAAAAACTCATTCTTAATTTTGATTCTTACGATGCATTACATCTAGAGTCAACTGTTGTTGAAGAGCCATTTCTTTTTTTAGTATAAACTTTAAAAGCCTTTTCCAAAAGCTGTTATGAAATAGTGCTGTACAAATTTGGATGGCTGTTCTCTAGAACTCATTTTATCAGGAAAATTTAGATCTTTGTATTTCTTCTGGAAATGCAAATATTTACTTGATTTTGAAGTATTGAGTACCTTTAATGATTTTGTTTGTTTTCCATTATGAAAACTATTGTACATGTAACTTGACTGGGAGTATAACCTGATTCTGGCAACAATTTTGATCTATTAAAACACTGTTTGCAGACATTTACTGGTATGGTTCTGGTGGTAGTTTTAGGTTATCCATCAGAGTTTTAAAGAACAGTTTTTCATATGTCACTGAATGTCGAAGTCTATGCAGGAAGGGAAGGCAGCAGGTATCTCAACCAGTTTGTCTGAAATTCTAATGAACAACATGCTGACTAATCTGCAGCATTTACTTTCTAACCCCCTAACATGTCAATAAGCTTGAAGATGTGAGACTGTTGGTTTAATAGAATGGAATGTTTCTCGGGTATTGTGCTTTTTAAGAACAGTACATGTTTTCATGGTCTGTCTTCACCCTTGCACTTCTTATCAGTAATCATTGCTTAAGTAAATGTGGTGCTAAAGGTACACTTTTCAAATATTAAGAACACATTAAAATTAATATTAGAAGTAGTCAGAGGCCACTTAACTTTTTTACTGGGTCTCTGGCAATGATGTATCTTCTCATGTTTGTCATAGTATTCTGCATATTATGTACATTCAGACTGACTAATCATAATATAAACATTTGGTTATAGCAGTAATCCATAAAGTGTAAGAGCTAATAAGGCTAGTGTTTTTCATAGGAATGAGGAAATCCACCCGAATTCATCTCTGGCATCAGTTCTTAACTGCACGGGAGAGGTAGAATTCTATCTATTAGGCACTGAAAATAATATCACTACTTATATATGAGCCTTCTAGTGTCACATGGAATTGTTTCCTCACTGATCCGTTTCTACTGTTCATATAGCCAATTTTAAACAGCACTTTGTGTTTGCTCATTAGTTTCTAGTAGTAGCAATTGAAGACATAGTGTTTCTGTGGGTCAATTACAGTCGTGTTTCAAATAATTCTTTTTTGTCTGCAATAAAAACAAACCAAGCAAATCCATTTGTTGACAATTCCCACGCCTGCCAAAAAATGTTGTCACAAAAAATTCTCTAAAACCTCAGGGGGACTTAAAAAGAGAACTGCAGCAGAAATCATAGTTTTGCAAGACTGAATTTTAACTGTTGTCTAATCTTGAAGACTGACAAAAATTATCTTGGAAATAGAGAATATTTAACTATAGTTGCTATTACAGCTTTTCCTTGTCTCATAACTGAACTAACTAACAAAGCAAATATGGTAACCTTTCTGAATGGAGACTGGAAAAAGAAGATTGCTAGAATAATATTACAAAGAAGTCTGTGGTCTTGGTAAAGAATAAAAATGTTTCGGTATTCCTAACATATAATCAATAGAAACCTCAGTTTTCTTATTAAGTTTCTTAGGAATTTAACTTTTCTATGAAAGCCATGTAATGTCTTGATATTGCCAGGACTGAACAACCTTGTATCAATTGGGCTTTCCTGTGAACTGTGGGATTCTTCTGCTTATGCAAGTATTTGTTACTGAAGAGGTTAGCTAAATTAAGACTTAGCTGACATTCTTTTTAAACACAGCAGGTGGAAAATTCAATAGAGGTAGATGAGCAGTATCTTAAGTATCTACCTTCAAGCTCATATGTAAATAGGAGCTATCTCTCAACATCATACTCTAAATTTAACTCCTTAGTACTAAAGTTTCTATTGCAATGCCATTATTTGTAGCTTTTGGATTTTTGGAAAAGAATCAGAAACTTTCAGTAGAAGTTTCTGCAATTTTGTTTTCTGTGTATGTGTATGCTAAGACCAAATAGGTAATAACATATGACTAATAGCAAACCCTTGCAGAAGAGTGGAAAACTTGAAGCAAAATTTTAGTGGGAAAAATTTGATGCAGAATAATATAGCTAATTATTATTCAGTATGTTGTTTTTAATTTCTCATTGAAAGTACACTTGTTGTATGGTGAATATAGTTTTGTTAGTGTTGAAGATTACAATTGTATTTCAAGTGTGTTTTAGTTTTTAATCCTGAAAGTTTTGCTGTGGGGGTGAGATAGCTGTATGGTGTGTTTAGGTAAACTGATAATATACTTAGCTTATATTTGTTTTATTATGGATTCCTTGGAAGTACTGATAGAGTCACATATATGGTTGAAAATTGTGGCTATATTAGGCTTTTTATGGCATTACTTTTAGTGGCTTCTGGCAGAATACAGACGTTAGCCAGTAATGGTTATGCATAAATTTAAGTACAAGGGCATTGTAACTGATGGAGATGCACTTTATGGATTTTTTTCAGAAAATCTGTACTGCATTTTCCTGTCAACATTTTCACTGAGAATGTGAAAAGGAATGTTAAAAAAAAAAAAAAAAGGACATCAAAAAGGAAGTGCAGATTAAAAATGAATTCATACATGGTCACATCTAAACTTGCATCAAAGAGCAGGGAATGTAGGTCATTTGAAAAAGAAAAGAGAGGAGGAAAGATTGTGCTCTGAAAAACTACAGTTCTATGAGTTTCCTCCTACAGTGAGCAAGGCTTCCCAATATGCTGAGGCAGAGGGCTAATGTGATTCTTTAAGGTCTAAATTGGAGGTGATTACGTAAAATCAGCTGACTCATCTCTTGTGTGACCTCTGCTCAGTACTGAGTTACTGATACTGAAACATTGCAGGATTTGCAGATTTTTATAAAACTATAGATGATAGAAAATGAGAATTCAAAATTACTTTCCTTAAACTCAGAGTTTGCATTACTTCAGTCTTTTCATTTATGAGAAACAAGAACAGGAAGTCACTTGATTAGCTCGTGGAAGTACATTTACATAAAGAAGTACACATTTTGGTAAGCAATAATGACGTGAGCTGAGATGGGTGTATTACGCTGTAGTTTGGAAAGTTGAGCTGGATAAGTTTAAATATAGAGGGGTTTTTTAATGTCATTGAGGGTACTGAATGATGGGAATGTAGTGAATTTTATCTTTTCTTGATGTCTTCGGAAGTGTCTTTTTCTGGTGGATATTTGGATATTTGCTGAAACCAAGGTCATTGAGCTCAGAGCAGAGTGAGCAAAGAAGCAGCATGATGACTTAACATATAGGAGACTGGACAAAATCCCCTCAGTCTGCACGCTCTGGATTTTAACAAAAGTTGCCTATCTGTTCATACTTATTGGCTTCACTAAGTGATTTGATATCCAGTAGGTGATGTGAGTTGCTTGTCATTTCTCTGTGGGTTTTTAAATTTTATTTAATGCAACTGAAGAAAACAGTATCTTTAACTTTATTTTTTTTTTCCAGACAAAACTGATGAATATAGGCAAAGTGGGATCACCTCCAATGTTGTGATGGCACAGCTGCATCTGGGGATAATGAAAATCAGCTATGTTCTACCTAACACTGGTCAGGGTGGGTGAGGTATGTCTCTACGTTCTGCAGGTTTTCTGCCTGGAAATTAGAGAGAGGATAGGATCCATAGAAATATGATCTGATGGCTGGTATGAATTCTAGTAATAGAGTAGTTGCTTTATTATCTACGAAAGTATTCTAAAACATATGTCTTAGTCTTGTATTTTTCAGCCTGGAATTATGTGGTGCTGAATTGATCAAGGTCACACCTATGAAAAACAGCTCAAAACATCCAAAACAACTGAAAATTTCTCTTGTCTTAGCACTAGCATAAAGTTGTCTATAGCTAGTTCTTGTAAATGTTTTTTTCTATGATTATGGTTTGAAATCACTGCAAGGTTCTCTAAAACTTTAACAATGACTGTGAGAGAAGCAGTGTTTCCTGAGCTCGCCTGCTGAAGAGAGGGTGGACTGACCTTGGCACTTCTAGACAGACTCTGAAGGTGAATAAAAGGCATAATGTAATATATTTACATGCTTGCAAATTTATCCTTTGTTTTCTTGTCTAACTTAAGTGCCTTAAGTGCTTATTTGCATGAGGGTCTGGCCTTATGCATAACTAAGATATGCTATGTGATTTCAAATCTGATGTGCATAGTTTATAAATTTGATCTCACCAAAAGCAGTTGTTCTATTCTGAAACTAATTTTGCATTCATACAGTGGTGAGATGATGAGTTTATCAGTTTCTTATCTACTACAATGACATTCAGAATATTAGCTTTATTGTTCTGAGAAACTGTGTGAAGTAAATGGCCTTTTGATGCTGGCATATATGCAAAGTATTTTGGAATCCTCTGATTTTTTTTTTCCTTTTCTCGTGTTTGGTAACTACTATGTAGAGTTACTGCCCTTTAGATGCTTGGTAATTTATGACCCAGCAGAGGTCAGCCTTGTGACATTTTTCAAGGCACATGATCAAAGAAAAGGAGTAAAGTTCTTCTTTTCAAAGCCCTTGAAATTTTATTTTATAAATGTATTTCTGCTAGTTAGAGTTGGATAATATCGTGTCGTAGTTAGGTGTGACTTCCTAAATACCTCTCTATGTACAAGGATCATTTATTGTATTGTAAAATTTTTGCCTTGTTTGAACACAATTTTCTGAGTAAAATGAACCGGCTCCCTAGTAGTTCTATCCACTTAGACAGTAGATGTAAATATGCAGTAATAACACTGTCAAAGCTTCTGCTGAGTCTTCTGCAATTGTGTTAATGACTGAAGCATGACACCTGAAACTGAGATAAAGATACTGCCTTTTTCATTCAGCCAGTTTTCTGGAGCACAGTTCTTATAAGGAGCAGGTGAAAGAGCTGGGATTGTTCAGTCTGGAGAAGAGGAGGCTCAGGGAGACCTTATTGCTCTCTATAATGACTGAAGGGAGTTATAATGAGATGGGGGTCAGCCTCTTCTCTCATGTAACTTGTGACAGGACTAGAGGGAATGGTTTCAAGCTGCACCAGGGGAGATTCAGGCTGGATGCTAGGAAATACTACTTTTCTGAAAGAGTGGTCAGGCAGTGCAATGGGCTGCCCAGGGGGGTGGTGGAGTCACCGACCCTGGAGGTGTTCAAGGAATGTTTGGACGTTGTGTTGAGGGACATGGTTTAGAGAGAACTGTTGGTGATGGGTGGATGGTTGGACTGAGTGATCCTGTAGGTCTTTTCCAGCCTTAGTGTTTCTGTGATTCTGTGCTTTTGTGATTCTAAACTTCACAGTGGTTGCACTCCCTTACTGTTACTTTGTTT